CCCCCCCCCTTTTTAAAAGGGTACTTATCCAGCAGGAGCTCACACAGAATTAGCCGGACGAATTAAATGTATACATTGTACCTGGCTGGTTAAGGCCATGAGGACAGCAAAACTGGACAGGTGGGTGGAGTTGCATATGGTGTGACTTTTGTTCACTTGGATCAGGAAACAGCCGTCCCTGGACCACTGGCCGTGGCCCCCTGTGCTCTTCCAGTACACGCAGAAGGCCTTTCCTTTATTGCGCTTCCTCTGAAAGTAGAAAGGGCTCATCATGTTCTTCCTTGGGAGGGACAACTCTCAGAATGTCCGTCTACACCGGGGTGGCAAGCGAGGAGATACGCGGCTTAGAAGTGACTCAGGTGATTTCTATTTCAAGTGAAGAGAATGGGTGCCAGGACACCTGCTCCCATAGTCCCAGCTCTGTTGGGGTTCCACATACCATAAAACAAGATCAAGGCCCTCTGGGAGCCAGAATTTTACAGGATGTCACTGGTTTCAGGATTTTATCCCCCACCATGGAAGTCAGACAAAAACAAAACAAAACAGTAAATAAATAAAAAAGTCTGTGGCTCGTACAGAGTTTTCTCCTAAACACTCTCTAAGACAAATTTCCCTGATTTCTTCACACCAATTCTGTCCCTGACCCCTTACAACACAAAAATTGCTCACGCAACGAGAGGGGAAGTTTAGGGAAGAAATGAAGAGGGAGAGAATAGAATTAGCCTTCAACCTCTTCTTTTTGTCCCAAGGGTTTCCAGAGCATCACTTCATGGGGCCAAGAAGATGAGTCACACATTCTCCCGTTGGGGGGCTGTATCTCCTTTGATAATCCACTAGACCATCTCCAGATTTCTTGCTCCACTCCCACTGCCCCATGCCATATATGAAAAATTTCATACTTAGGTTTTATGCATCCGATAGAGAAATCCTACATTTCCTACTCCCCCCATTCTTATTTTGTTTAAAATTAAAATATAATTTTATCTATTTTTTCCAGCTTTATTGAGCTATGACTGACATATAAATTATGTAAGTGTAAGGTATATAACATAAGTTTTTGACATATACATATATTGCAAAATGAAGTTAGTTAATATCCATCACCTCATGTAGTTACAATTTTTATTTTGTGGCGACAACTTAAAATCTACTCTCTCAGCAACTTTCAGGTATGCAATATATTATTCTTAACTAGAGCTATCATGCTCTAGTTAATTAAATCCCCGGAACTTATTCTACTTGTAACTGGAAGTTTGTACCTTTGACCTTCTGCACTTTTTCTCTCCCATCCCCCCCACCCCCCAGGTAACCAAAAATACCTGTGTCTATGAGTTTGGCTTTTTGAAATTCTACATATAAGTAAGACCATACAGTATCTGTCTTTCTCTGCCTGACTTATTTCACTTAGCATAATACCCTCAAGATTCATCCATGTTGTTGCAAATGGCAGGATTTCTTTCAACTCTTACTTTCATGACAAAGCTGAAAGGCAAGGGAACAGATGAATTTTATTACATCTGGGTCTGGCTACTGACCTTCCTGTCTTTAAGAGTTTGGGCAGAGAAGGGGAAAAGGGAATGAATTAAATAAAAATTTTTTTCCGATCAAGTTATGTAGTCTAATAATTAATACCAGGCTTTCGTGTGGGAATGAATAACATGTCTCAGTTCAAATTTCACAGAATAAAATTGGAGGTACCTCCAACTAAAATAATCCCACGCACTAGAATCATGCTGCCCAAGAGAAATATCATGTGAGCTACTTGTGTAATTTGAAATTTTCGGCTAGCCATATTAAAAAAGCTAAAGAAACATTTCAAATTAATTTTAATAATACATTTTATTTAACCCACTATATTCAAAACAGTATCTTTTAGTATGTCAATATAAATCAATATATGCAATCAATATAAATATTATTTTTCTTAAAAATATTTTATTTATTTTTTCAAAGATTTTATTTATTTATTTGAGAGACAGAGAGAGAGAGCATGAGCAGGGGGGAAGGGACAGAGGTAGAGGGAGAAGCAGACTCCCTGCTGAACAGGGAGCCTGACATGGGGCTCAATTCCAGGACCCTGAGATCATGACCTGAGCCGAAGGCAGATGCTTAACCGACTGAGCCACACAGGTGCCCCTTAAAAAGTTATTAATGAGATATTTTGCATGCTTTTTTTCTTATGAGGGCTTCAAAATCTGGAACTACCAAGTCTAAATCCAGAAATACTAAGTCTTCAAATTCTCAATTCAGATGCACCAAGTTTCAAATGCTCAATTGCCACACGAGGCTCCTCGCTAAGGTATTGATTGGACAGCACAGCCCAGAGGCACTGACTGGCGAGGGTATACGCACATTGTTCACTCTACCTCCAAGAAACCTAAGCAAGTTCAAATGCAGCTCTGACCCACCTTCACATGCTGAAAACTCAGAATCACAGACTTGGAGAGAGATATGTTCCTTTGGGGTCCAATAGCAGCACTCACTACCTGGGAGTTCAGGTAAACTCGGTCTTTCTCATTTGCCTCTTCAAAAAATGTTGCGTTTATGAGGGTTCCAAGAGAAGAATAAGAAATAAAGGCAATTGCCGTGGGACCTGAGAAAACAGAAAAAGGGGGGGGTCTTTAAAAGTGCCATCATTCCTTTCCCACACCTACCATGCTCGCACACATGATGTACACACAAGTATACATACGCACGCATAGTCACCTATATGAGGGTCAAATGAAATAGAGATTCTCACCGTCTCTCCCTTTCTCACCTCTGAGACAGACAGTGTGTTTGTGGTCTTGAACCCTTTTTTGTATTGAAGGGGGTAAAACCTGGGGGGGGGAAGAGAAGAACTGGACAAACAAAGAGAGGTTACGCTGATTTGCATCAGAAAGGACATGGCTGTAGCCTTAGGAGAAAATGCATCAGATAAGATGGGAGGAGGGCAAAGAAGAGGCAGATGGAATTTCGAGGGAGGAGGAGAGGAGCCAGAAGGGTCAGGCTTGAAGAGGAAGCTTAGGGAGTTAGGTAAGTTTTCCGTGATGTCATTCCGCTTCCTGAAGAGACTTCTGGAAAGGCTGATTTATTTTTCAAGACTTTTAGAATTGGTTTTGCATTCCTTTCAAATGAAGCATAATGTTGAGACTGGACTTAAAGAAATCCATTAACAGGTGGGTTACATGTATGGCTATCTCTTTGTATGTACGTATGAATGTGATCATCTTCTCCCATATATTATATATGTAAACCAGATCTAGAAAAAAATAATGTGTATAGAAATTTAGGCCACTACCCCTATCTATCTATTCATTTATTCAACTTTTTTTTTTTTTTTGATGGAATGCCTACTAGGGTCCAGACACTATTCTGGGGATACAGTGGGGGACAAAGAAACCATTTCTGCTCTTACAGATCTTTCTGATGCAGGAGAGAGACAAACAAATATAAACAAATCAGTAAAAGTGTATGTCAGGAAACGATCGGTCCTAGGGAGAAAATTAAGTGAGGTAAGGGAGGACAGAGAGACTTGGAGGATGCTATTTCAGACAGATTTCAGACAGCAGTGTGAAGGGAGGGGGGGCCACATGGCCACATAGAAGAATGTTCTAGGTAGATCTGATATAACAGGGACAAAGTCCTGAGACTTGAACGTGCCCAGCTGGTTCAGGGAACAGGGAGGAGGCCAGTGTGGCTGAAGAAGTGTGTGTGTGCAAGAGTGGGAGGAGGTGAGGGCAGGGATGTGATGGGGGCAGATCCTGCAGGGCTTTATGAATCTTGAGGAGGACTTTTGCTTTTATTTTAAGGCAGTTTAAGCAAAGGAAAGCCATAATTTAACATACTTTATTTTTTTTTATTTGGGGGGGTGGGCAGAAGGAGAGAGACAATCTTAAGCAGACTCCACGACCAGTTCAGAGCCTGACACAGGGCTCTATTTTACGACCCCGAGATCCTGACCTGAGTCAAAATCAAGAGTCGGACACTCAACCGACTGAGTCACCCAGGTGACCCAATTTAACATACTTTTTTTTTTTTAGACCATTTTTTTGTTGTTGTTAACATACTTTAATAGACTAAATATATGTGTACAGGCTATATTTATATCATGTATTTATAATTCTATTATATATTAGAAGGACATACACATGACATATATCAGTAGGATAGTGTTATGCACCAAATTGTGTCCCCCCCCCCAAAATTAAGTTGAAGTCTGAACCCATAGTACTTGAGAATGTGACTGTGTTTGAAGACAGGGCCTTTATAAAGATAGGGCCAGAGGAGAGAGGGCCTGACTTTGGTGCTGTGATGGAAGTGGGCAGTCCTGGGAGGCCTCATGGAGGAGGTGAAAGCTGACCTGGATTGAAGAGTAAAGAAGAAGAAATCTGCACGCACAAAGAGAGACCAGGGATATACACGCAGAAAAAAGACCATGTGAAGACACGGGGAGAAGGTGGCCATCTGCCAGAGAGAGAGATCTCGGAAGATACCAACCCTGCCAATGCCTTGATCTCCGACTGCTAGCCTCCAGAACTGTGAGAAAATAAATTTCTCTTGTTTATATATATATAATATATAATATATACATACAACATATACATATATATGTGTTATATATGTTAGTTACTAACATATATATATAAACAAACATATGTATTTGTAGTTAGTTTGAATATGGTGGGTTATAGGATTATAGGATGTTATGACCATATTCCGATGTCAATAAGTTTTCTTTATTCTTTGTAGCCGCCAAGAAGTCCACACTGCCGAGGCCATATATATGAAGCAGTTAGGATTGTAGAGACAGGAAATAGGTTAATAGGTTTCTGGATTAAAATCCCAGCTTTGTCATTTACTAGCTATGCAGCCCATCCTATTGGAATAAATTCCTCCTAGGTTTCTCTAATCAGGCTTCTCTGGTCCTGCCTGGGGAATCAGAAGCAATTCATTGCTGTTTCTCCGGATTAATGACAGTTTCCATTTGTCAGAATGAAACAGTGGTAGGTGGTTGGAAAAGATGGGCAGGTGATATGTCCATCTGTTCTTGTGCTTAGTAATAGCTTATTTTTGGGCTGAAGTATTCTGGTTAGGAGCAAAAGCACAAGCAGAAAAGAGAAGGGTGGCTGTAGGTGTTCACGGTCAGCTTCCGGTGGCCTGGGTTTTGTTCTCTGAGATGTTTTACAGGGAGGGGGTGTCATGGGATTGTATGTCTCGTGTTACCTCTGATGGGTGTCTGGGTGTAATTCGATAGCACCTCCTTTCAGTCTTAAAGTTGTTACTGTTTGAAGGTCAATTATAAGGTCACTCTCCACGAACAGTTCTCAATTGGGGGTGGGGGGATGATTCTGCCCCCTCTGGGGACATTGGGCAATGTCTGGACGCATTTTTGGTTGCCACACTGGGTATTTGTTTCTGGTGTCTAGTGAATAAAGGCCAGAGGTGCTGCTCATCATCCTACAGGGCACAGGGTGGCCCCCATGACAAAGAAGGCTCCTGCCCTAGACAGGACGTGAAGGACAGAGAAATGTCCCTCTGGGAGCTTGTCACACATCGGTCAATGGGTTCTTTTCTTTCCTTAGGAACATTGAGACCTCCACCTAAACGTGGATTTAATTCAGAGAACATTCATCACTGTTCTCTATGTAATGAGCCTGTAATGGTGACTCTAGAGAAAAATAATTCATGATTGCCATCCTTATGGGGATTCCAGCATGGTGGGGGAGACAAGGACATGGCAATCTAGATACAACACAACATGTTAGATGCCAGGATAAGGCAAGTTCAAGAGGCTGGGGGTAGTGCAGAGGAGGGAGGGCCTGACTTTGGTGTTGTGGTGGAAGTGGGCAGTCCTGGGAGGCTTCATGGAGGAGGTGAAAGCTGAACCATGTTGAAGAGTAATAGTTCACCCAGTGGCCTGGTGGTTGGCATTCCTGGTAGAGGAGCAGCCAATGGAAATGCTCGGAGGTGAGACTATAGGGCCCACTGGGGGAGGGTAAATAGTCCTCCACTGGGCACTTTTATGCCAGGTGCCCCTTCAGGCACATGCAATCACATTACGATGTCTGTGACTTACTTAAACAATTCAGCAGAGGAAGTTCTTATGAGCTGAGTTGTGTCCTCTTTGAATTCACATGTGAAATCCTAATCCCCAGTATCCCAGAATGTGATCGGAGAACATGTGGGGCTGCAGATGTGCTTTGTTTGGCTTGCACTGTGAAGTCTTGCACACTCTCTACAAATTGTGAGTTTTAGAACAAAACTCCTGGTGACAAGGCAAGCATGAATTTGTGTGGTTGGAGGTTGGCTTCCATCCTCCACCTGGCCCATTCTCAAACGAGGCAGATTCAAGTTCTTATCTTCTTGGGGGAGGAGAGGAAGTGATAGGAACTAATTGTCTCACGACACTTCCTCAGTTCAGCATGTGGTTAGTTGTCCACATTTTGATGCCTTTACTCGGGGCCTTTCACTGATAGTACAGACCAGCTGTATCCCACGTTTATAGGATTGGATTTAAGACCCCATTTGTCATGCTATAGCAGTTATAATGGTAAGGCAGCTATTGTAAGACCAAATTTAAAAATTGAAGGTATTCATGCAACCAACCCAATTTCTCTTGAAAAATCAGAAAGTCTGGCAACACCGGGACAATTAATAGTAACAATCCGTTCCTTCATACACAGGCTGTAGCAAATGCTGTAGGCACCCTAACTTAATTCGCTTGGCACTCTTGGGTTCCTTACATGCCGATGAATTCTCCTGCAAGCAACTGCAACTCTCTGCCTGGGAGCATTCCCTGCAGTGAATGTGTTGGATTGGTACACAGGGCAGAATGGCAGGGCCCTCAACCACTGATGGATCAGAGCAGCTCTCCCTCCTTGAATGGGAGAGCTCAGTGGGATGAGTCACATTTACCACCAGCAGTGACCTACTCACTACCATAATAATACCTGTATTGGCTGTCTCCTCTTCCCTGTCTCATTTCTTTTCTCCCATACTGGGATGGTTAATTTTATGTGTCAATGTGGCTAGGCCATACTACCCAGATATTGGGTCAAACATGAGTCAGGGTGTCGCTGTAAAGGCATTTTTTAAGACGAGAGTAACATTTAAATCAATAGACTTTGAGTAAAGCAGATTACCCTCCACCATGTGGTTGGGCCTCCTCCAATCAGCTGAAGGCCTTAAGAAAAAGACTCTCTTCTCCCAAATAAGAGGGAATTCTGCCTATAGCCTGTCTTTGTCTACAGTTACAACATCAACTCTTCCCTGGGTCTCTAGCCAGCCTGCTGGCTAGATTTTAGACTTGCTACCATCCACAATCACAGGAGCTAATTTCTTAAAATCTCTGTCTCCATTTCTCTCTCTCTTTATCCCACTGCCCCCTACACCATATTGATTCTGTTTCTCTGGGAAACCCTGACTAATACACCGACTGATGCTTCCTGGAATCACCTCCCAAATAAACTTACACTTTTCTCGGGGACTGCGTTTGGGTGAACGTCAACTGAGACCAGGACAGAACTGCCCCCAAATTGCAGAGAAGTGTCTTCCATGCTGAAGAATAGAAAGCCTTCACTTGGGGAAGATTTTTAAGGAAAAGACTCAAATGACACAGTCTTAGGGTAACAAACTCATTAGGAAGGAGCCTGTTGGCGACTCTCCTTGTGACTCATACAATGATACTGATCTGTGTGTCTTAGGGGTTCTGAATACAGCCTCTGTGTGTACCTTGTATGTTTTCCTGCACAATGTCATTGCAGTGGATGTCCACTGAGTTCATGTGGGCGTTCAAGCTGAAGATCTTTCCTTCTTCAGAGCAATTGTCTGTAACAACTCGAGTTTCAATAGCTGGTGAGAAAAGCAACAATCAAGTTTGCCATTATTATAAGCTTTAAAAATGTGCATAGCAACATGGACAGGTTACATTTACTGAATGTCTAGGGTGTTCCAGGCTGTACCTTGTCAAATAACCCCATGAGGGACCCTTATCCAAACGAGGTAAGACCCTAACTCCTGAAACAAGTTCTTAACTAAAGTTCTCTAGCACTCATCTTTTTTTAAAAAAAGACTTTATTTATTTACTTATTGAGAGAGAGAGAGTATGAGCAGGGGGAGGGGCAGGGGCGGGGAGAGAATCTTAAGCAGGCTCCATGCTTGGCGTGGAGTCTGATAACGGCGCTTGATCTCACGACCCTGAGAACATGGCCTGAACCGAAGTCAAGAGTGGTAGCGCCCCCTCTAGCAGTCATCTTTGAAGCAACAATTCTGTTTCTAGGAATTAATTCTCAGAAAACAATCATGGACGGGCGGGTAGATTTAGCTACAAAAAGTTTTCAGCAGCAGAGATGATAGTGTGAAAAATAGGAAATTATCTAAATGTTCAACAAGGAGGAATTGATTTAATAATTGACAGCTTATCTCTGTAACAGGGAACCATGCTTCCAATGCAAATGAAGTCACAGGAGAATTGCCATCAAGAAACAAGCTCATGAAAGTATTTAACTTAAATATTAGCAGACGGCTGGAGGCTGGCTGTGAGTTTGAAAGTGTTGAAACTGGGTGATGGGTACAGTCGGGTTCCTGCTGTGTCTGCCCATTCACAGATGAGGGAAGTGAAACCCAATGAGGTGAGGGCAATGGTCTGCCCCATCAGTTAGGACCTGGCCAGATCAGGAAAGATGAGAGCTATTGTAATCTGAAAAACGGTTTAATTTTGAATGAAATGAATGAATGAATGAATGAAATGAATGAATACGTCCTGATTCCAGTTTCCTAAGAAGGTTAGGCATGGGATTTTATTTTATTTATTTAAAAATTTATAAAAATTTATTATTATTTTTATAGAGTGTAAACTATCTCATCATACAAATTGGTGAAGCAAAATGATTAGTTAGGCATACACCAATCCATTGATATCCCTGGGCTGAATAAAAAGCACAGCAAAGAGCATTTCTGGAGGCCAATATAGTGATATGTATCAAAGTCTATAAAATGTTTCTTTTCTCCTTGACCTAATGATTCTTCCTCTATGAATTTATCCTAAGAAAATATCAAAAAAATATACACAGATAAATTTTCAATGGTCTGTTCACGGGGTTATTTGGCAACAACCCACATTTCCCAGAATAGGGAAATAAATACAGTATAAATAAATATACAGTATAAATAAATTATATACAATGCAATTTGATAAACCATTGAAGACAATAATGTAGGGAATGATGATGTATATAATTTACACGGAGAGAGGCTGGTGATGTAATAAGTGAAAATTGTATGTACAACGTCACATACACAGCAAATATGCATCTGCATCAGACATGCATCTACATGGTTATAGGATAGGAAGATTGGGTTGTGGGCAGATTTGGCTGTTCTAAATTTAGTTTTGTCTATGTGTTTTTTTCTTTTTTTTTAAATTTAATACTTGGCTTTGCTATGATATTTATTTATTTTTATTTTTTAAAATAGCGAAATCGGGCGCCTGGGTGGCTCAGTTGGTTGGGCGACTGCCTTCGGCTCGGGTCGTGGTCCCAGGGTCCTGGAATCGGGCCCCGCATCGGGCTCCCTGCTCCGCGGGAAGCCTGCTTCTCCCTCTCCCGCTCCCCCTGCTTGTGTTCCCTCTCTCGCTGTGTCTCTCTCTGTCAAATAAAATCTTTAAAAATAAATAAATAAATAAATAAAATAGCGAAATGATTACGAAGATCAAACTATTTACCATAGTCTCTCGTCACGTGGTTATGTTATGACTATGTATGACAAGTATGATAAAAGTATTTTTATTTAAAAGATATGCAGTAAGTTGTTCCTTCTGGGATGGAACTGTGATATGTGCCAGTAGGTATTAGGCTTCAGATTAAAAAACAACAACAACAACAAAAACCCAAAAAACTACTTTGAAGCCAAAATCCCAGACTCAGGACTGGAAACGATTGGCAATCTTTTCTTTCTTTCTTTTTGTTTTTAGAAGATTTTATTTATTTATTTGAGAGAGAGAGCGAGTGAGTGAGAGAGCAGAGAGAGCACGAGCAGGGGAGACTGACACAGGACTCGATCTCAGGACCCCAAGATCTTGACCTGAGCTGAAAGCAGCCGCTTAACCAACCAAGCCACCCAGGCACCCCCTTTCTTTCTTTTTTTTGAACAGGTCTATGGAGCTGTGATTAATGTGTAATAAATTGCACTAATAGAGTGTACAATTTGATGAGTTTTACTGAGTGTATATACCTGTGTATATACTATATTCCTGTGAAACCAACCCCATAATCAAGGTACTGAACATGTCTTTCATACCCAACAGTCTCCTCAAATTTTCTCCCTCCTCCCCCCTCCACCCATCACTATAGGTTAACTTGCATTTTCTAGAAGTCTGTATAAGTGGACCCAGGCAGGGTATTTATTTTTCTAATTGTGTAACCCAGACTCCAGCTTATAATGAACCCCCTGTGTGCATCAGGCCATATCCTCTTCTTACCCACAGTACTGTTGTGGATTTTCTGGATTTTTTGCTCCGGGGATTTCAAGGCAGTTTCTAGAGCATTTGATTCCACGGTCTGGAGAACATTTGTGGCCCAAGATGCGACTTTGCTCTTCTCTCCCGTTCCCGGTAGAGTGTTATTAGCGAGAAGTGACTCGAATATCTCAGCAACATGTTGCAGCTTTGAAGATACAAAGAATAAGAATACAAATCCAATCTGATAGATCCCACACCCTGAGGGAAAGTCGAAAGCACAAGAAAGCAGCTTCTGGAGCCAGAGGACCCGGTTTCAATCCTGATCCACCATTGAAAGGCTGTGTGAACTTGGAAAAATCACCCAATTTCTCTGTGCCTCAGTTTCCCCATATTAAGATAGGGACAATAAAAGGACCCCATAGAGCATTTGGAGTTATTAAATGAATTAAGAGATGCTACCTTTTTAGAACAGTGTCTGTGCCTGGTACACACTAGATGAGGGTTAGTTATTATGAACATCTTTTACCAACAGGGAAGTGGTAAGGTTGCCAGAAATAGACCAGTGGTTCTCCATTAGGGCGATTTTGACCCCTCGGGGACATTTGGTAATGTCTGGAGACATCCCCTGCACTGAGGGATGCTACTGGTATCTAGTGGGTGGGGGCCAGGGATGCTCCTCAACAACTTACAATGCACAGGGCCGTGCCTCCCCTGCCCTCTCCGGAAAGTGACCCAAGCTCAAGTGTCAGTGGAGCCAAAGCTGAGAAAATGAGAAGTAGAGTTATAGCTCAGACATTCTAACTGGCCTTTTTTTTTTTTTTTT